CGTTAAAAACAGCATCAGGAAAATTACAATGCTTGTTTTATTTAGTGGCTTGGTAATGCACCAACCATAAACTGAAAATCTTTTTTAGCCTATTTAATACATGTTGAGATCATTGTTTTCTAAAAATTCTGAATGTATGATTTTTGAGGTCTTGTCCTTGTGGATTGCTCAAGCAAAGAAATGCTTTCTGACTCTGATGATAACCGTTGCTCAGTAATATTGAATGTTTTAATATTGAAATTAAGCTTTTATGTTATTTTGTCATGATTGCTTTAGGTTTACTTTAGACCACAATATCATGGTTTAAAATGCTAGTGAAATCAGTTTTTCGATAAGAGAATTTTGCTAACGCAATCCAACATAATTAAAGCACATTTACTTTTATCAGTTGAATAATGTGTAAATCATCCTGGTATATAAAGAACGCTTATTCTTTTAAAGATTTTCAATGTGAAAATACTACTTACACTATTTATACAACAAATGGTATAGAACAGTGTATAAATATTTGATTTGGAACGAACCTAAGGGCTTTACAAAACACCTCAACATGTCCTTTGGTATCTGACTGGCACTAAGATCTTAGCAGCAGATCCTTCAAATCTAGTAGGATGCAAGGCTGAGCCAATGTGTATTGAACTTGTGCGTCCCAAACACCCCACAGATGCTGGATGTGATACTGGATTAAGGCAGCATACCTTGAACCCATCGTGCTCTTTCAACCAGTTCAGAACATTGAGTGCAGTGTACCAAAGTGCATTATCTTGCTGAAAGAAGCAACTTGAATCTGAAAACACCAGTTTCATGAAGGGCTGTACCTGATCTGCAACATTTAAAGCCGTGGTCACGGCAGAGTTTGAGTTTGCGAAATTATCTCGTATGGCACTGTGAAAAAGGGGCGGGATAAAACTTTGATAAAGAATGCGATAGCTTTATCCTGTACATTTATGTCCAGAGAGGCCATGTCTTGATCTTCTATTGTTCTTACGCAATCACATGATGCGATTTTGCAGGTTAGAGTTCAACAAGCTCGAACTTTCAAATGAATCGACATGCAAAACTTGTTGCACAAGCTTGTGTTTCCGGTTAGTTGCATTCACATGCATTTGAATAGAAGTCTATAGGGCGAAAAGTGTGGCGTGGCCGCGGCTTAATACTTTACACCCAAAAAATTACAACATAACACCAACCTGTCCAACATCTTTATCATCCCAGAGTGCACCCTACTGACATTACTTCCCCAGGTAAATGGTGCACACATACACGCAACAAACCAGGTGACCTGCTTCCAGAACTTATAGTGTAGGTCCAGTTCTGCCCCTTGACCTTTTTTGCTTTTAGGAACTTTAATGTGGAGGTTAAAGTATGAGAAGGTAATGTTGATGTCACACTCAGTGTCCTAATGAGTAGTGAAGCAAGCTCTATGCTCTATTTACACTTGATCACTTCTCTAAATTGATAATCTTATTGTGAAAAGGTTATATAAACACACTAAAACACAAAGCGAAAAGGTGATTTAAAACACATTGAAGATGATACTTATTTTACAGATATAGTTTTTGCAAGAGACATATTCATATGACCAGGTGTAACTGAAACAGTTTAACATATCTGTTAAAATCTGATTGTAAAAATTATATCTCGTCAATTTTAAACAGCAGTTTGAAAACACATTCTGTATTTAAGTTTCTCATCTGATCTCGTACTTGTTTCTGTATCTGGACCGATCCCTGGAAAAGGGCAGCGGCTTCAGACCACAGATGCAAAGTGTACGAGTGCACACGGCAGAACTAAAACTAAGCCGGACTTCACCTGTAATCCACAGGGTGGAAATATTCATCTTTCATCAAGCTAAATACTGCAGGGAAGATTCAAACCCTGTCAAAGGAATCCAGAAAGGAAAACCATCTGCTCTTGGGAATGAAATGTTTAAAGAGAATGCGATAAACATCTGGACCGATAACATCCAGTCTGCCTTTTTTAATGCTTTCTAATGATTTTGTTGTCTCCTTCATTTTACACTTATCAGCTAAGAGCATTGTGCCAATCAAATACACAAATGAAGAACACCCAGTCCTAATTTTCAGCAAAAATCACATTAAACAAACTACGTGTTTAGTGTGGTGGTCCTTCTCTTTTGACGTCAGTCACAATATTCTTAACCACACCCCTCTTAATGTTAGTTTGCTATGAGAGAATGATGTGCAAAATACTCCATATCACACTTGGAAGTGCATCAACATACGAAATAAAAGTCTAAGCAACTTCCAGTTCAAGCAGACTTTAAGCCTTGTCCCCCATCAAAAATCTAACATTTGCTGTCCTGATAAAGCAGTTTTAACCATGCCCTTGGAAGCTTTATGGAAGCAGCAATTTTAGCAACTGAGCAATAACAATGGCAGCTTTGATAGTGAGGGAGAGATGCAGTTTATACTCATCTACTTTTTTGACCGCTCATGTGTTAAACTGGAAAAACATGTGCTTTATCTGGAGCCGCATGAATGAATCTGCTAAACAAATGTAATTAAAGAGTGTACCAACTGTTAATAAACGACTCAATTTCTTTCTGTAAATCTGACTGAAAACATCAAATTACACTTTTGTGACTAAACCCCACTGCCTGCTTTTGAATTGTTTCAATTAAATTATATTACATTAAATCACTATGCAATCTGCACAGACTTGCATTTTAACTCTGTATCTTTGTACCTAATAAGTGGATAACTAGTGTTCCAGATGGCTTGTTTAGAATAATAATTATAAAGCCTTATGTTTGTAATATATTTATTATACAACTTGCTTTAAGAAAAGATAAACTCACCAAACATGATTTTTAATAGTAAGTTCTGATTAAATTGACAGTAAATTAAACTCATTTCACACAAATTTGCGTTCTTGTGATTTTATTTTTGTGTTAATTAAAGAGTTTTTTCAAAAAGCAGCTCAATAGTTTTCTACAATAATGGTGAAATGCACTAAATCCTCATATAATGATTTCTGAAAGATTGTGTGACACTCAATTCTGAAAAAGTGGCTGCTTAAAACTCAGCTTTTGGGATTTTGCAATACAGTATATTACAATAAAACAATGTCATTTTAAGTAGCAAAAATATTTGCTAATTTTACCGTTTTAAAAAGTTAGTATATTAAGACATTTTTTTAAGTGTTTAATGCTTAAAGTTTAACATTTTAAATGTCATAAATGTATACAGGGTTTCTGCAGATTTCACCATGTTAAATTTAACCTTTAAGACATTTTTAAGACAATTTTAAGTTAAACGCTAAGTTTTTCGAATGGCAAATGATGGAAAATATTTTTATTTGCTCTATCAAAAACCTTATTATAATTGAATCCATTTAATAAAAGATTAATAATTTAATAATAAAACATTTACATTTTAGATATTTCTTAGCAAAATATTTTAAATATTGTGTAAAAACAAGCAAGCGCTAGATGTAAACATACACTTTTTCAACAATAAAAAAAATGAACAAATGTTTTAAATGTTTTAATTAAATGTATGCACAACAGTCTGCAGTAAATACATGGATAACTTTTAAACAAATGCTATTGTAAGGGAAAAAATTAAACCATTATGGTAAACAGAGTTAAAAATTACATTTTTAAATTAAAAAAAGTTAAAAGTTTTATTAAAATGGACTGTTGGTGATTGGACGGGTGTTGGGTAGATTATACATGAACAAAGGAAAATTAAGACCTGTTTAAAAAAAGACTTTAAGACCTACAACACAATTTTTCCGTAAATGTAAGACTTTTAAGTTTTTGTGATTTAAGACATTGAGACTTTTTAAGAGCCTGCAGATACCCTGGCATAAGGCAATGTGTATATTTTCCATGCATCCAGTTTTAAACACAAACAAAGTCACAGAGCGACTGAAAATTGCCATATAATCCTTAATTAAACATGATCCTCCATATAGGTGATACTTACTAAGTATGAGAAAAAAACACAATACTTAAAACACAATAGGATACAAAAATTTAGGGATGATAAACTTAAAATTGATGTGAAATCAAAATTTGCAATGTTTTTTTTTTTTTTTTTGCTAATGCACATTGTTTTTTTTTTAGGTGAACAATTTATTCATGCAAGTTAATCCATAAATGTACTGTAAAAATAAATGTTTGTTTTGGTAATCTTCAATCAAAGTTTGACCTTTTGCTAACAATAAAAATACAACAACTCGCAAACATGACAAAACAAAACACATTAAATATAATGAATGTAACAAGAGTAATGCCTTGTTATATCAGAGCATTTGTTTGTTTGTGTTTAACACCAAGCCAGCTTCTACAGCTATTTTCATTGCAAGAAAATGTATCAATGACAAAAATATCTGTTTATTAACCGTGTTCTTATTTTGTGATTCACAAGTGTTTTCCGTTTATTTACGGTTGTGATTATGGGACCTTGCTCTCTGCTCTGTCAACTTTTGACGTTGAAAATTCAACTCTACAGTTTAACAAAGTGACTTCTTAATAGTTTTAAATAAAATAATGTATAAGAAATAATATATAGAGAAAAAGTCAAATAGCAAGAAAATGTACTGGCAGTTTAAGAAAAGGTTTTACTATATTATACAATACGAACCCAGAAAATATATCACCTAAACTATTCAAACTGTTATTAAAAAACACTTTTTTGATCTTATCAAGGGTAAAAATTGTTGGAAGAAAGAGCATAAATAAACTAATTAATTAAATTAAAACATGAATCACAAAATATGGGAAAAAAGCTAAATTATGTGTATTTTTTTTTCACTGTAGAGTTAAATTCTAAAAAGATTTTACCATTTATTTTTGCTAAAAACCTCTAAAACTGTATTTGTTTTAACATTGTTAAAATATCTCTTTAAAAAGAATGAACTAGTCAGAAAAAAAAATTGTCAGTATTAAAGTCAACACAATCTACTAAAACATAATAATTTACCAGAGCATTTACTGTGTGCAGTCGGATGAATCAAGAGAAAACACTTACCCTCCAATCTCTGAATCTTGGCCTTGACGGAGACGACCTGTTCAAATGGAGAGACACGCAGCTGGAAGCATGTTCCTGTCAGAGTCTCAATGAACAGCTCCATGGTCTCGCTGAAGGGCAGCTTGTAGTGCAGCACGCCTACATTGTCATCATTGAAAAACGGTGGGTTCCTCTTGTCAGTCATTATTGCGGAGGACAGGGATCAGGAAGAGACAACAATGAACCCTGCCCAAGGTGGAGGTCTTCTCCGTCACAGCAGAAACACATCATGCACTGAGCTTTGACCTGTGGGGAAGCAGAATCTATTTGTCTGATAGATTTCTTTGTAGGAACACAAAAAGTTTTCAAGCATCAAAACAATACATCTGTGATAAGCGCTTTAAAATAAAGGTTGATTTTTGGGCACTTATTCATGAAGAATAAATAAATAATAAAAAATAATAATATGTTAAAACATAAAAAAATAAATAAAAAAAATAAAAAAATAATAATAGTAATAATAATAATAATAAAAAAAATAAAAATACATGTTATTCTAGAAGAATCTTTAACACCAATGGAATCTTTCCATTCCACAACAGGTTCTGTAAAAGTGGAAAAGGTTCTTTAATGCAGGGGTTCGCAAACTTTTCAGCCTGGGACCCCAAAAATATCAATGCCAAAGACTTGTGACCCCCACTATTTTCGGAAGTGGTTATAATTATACAAATGTTGCACACAACACACACAAACCAATAGGCCTATAAAAACACAAGCATATTGACAACACAAAAAGTGCAACAGTCTAAGAACCTAACAAAGTTTGTAACAACCATATCATTTTTTTTATTACTATTATTTACTATTAAGCTCACCTAATAAGACTGGTGGGCACAATATTTAAGTTACATCACAAGTCTTTTTTTATTTAATTTTGGAGACTGCCACTAAAAGATCATCCTCCATGTTCAGTGTCCTGTATTTATTTTAAATGTATGCGAGTGCTGTAAAGGTGTCAGAAAGTTTAGCTAGTGCTGTAAAATCAATCTGGTGCAACTGACACTATTGTTCTGTCGTTTATCTAAATGTAAAAACCCTAGGGGTTGAAACCCAATGTAAAAAACAAAAAAAAAATGAAAGGCTGATGGCTTTTTTGTTTGGATATTGTATTTTTGATGTAACTATTTGTATGCAAAAGACTTTTGGCCAGCGGAGAAATTAAAATGGTCGTGCCGAACTGAGTCTGATTCTCTCAAGGTTTTTTTTCTTCACTCCCATCAGGTGAAGTTTTTTTTTCCCTCTCCGCTGTCGCCACTGACTCGCATGGTTCAGGATTGGTAGAGCTACGCATCGATAAATTTGCTCTTCAGTGTTTGAACTCTCAGTAATGATTAAATCACACTGAACTGAGCTAAACTGAACTGAACTGAACACTAAAAACTGAACTACACTGTTCCAGTTACTATGACCATTTATGTGAAGCTGCTTTGACACAATCTACATTGTAAAAGCGCTATACAAATAAAGCTGAATTGAATTGAATTGAATCTTCTGTAGAATATGGATTAACAGCAGTAATTATAAAAGTTTATTCAAATTTATTAGATTTTTGGAAATCACCAAGCAACCCTCTCTCATTGTCCCTATGCTTTAAAGGTGCAGTAGGCAATATCAGGGTCTATGCAGGAATCCTAAAAATAATTTAAATGACCTTTTTAAGAATTTTTAAAGACCTTCTCAGAATATTTAAATCGCCACTTCAAGTTCTAATCAGTATCAAACTTTTCACTTAATAATCAGCTTTTAATGAACAGTGGTACTTAAAAAAATGAATGGGGCACAACCATGCAACAGAACTCAGATAAGCTCAGAAGAAACAAAGATTAAAAGAATAAATTACGTGGTTGTTTTCAGTGACAGACTTCAGCCACTGTTTAAACTTGTCTTTTTCCAAACAGGGGTACGCAAACTTACATTTTCCCATTTTGCTGTCTGTTTCGCTCTACAGTTTCACTACATGTGGATCGCCTTCACTATTATTTTCTAGAAAAATTGAGTGTTTGGAAGAAAGCATCAGGTGCATATGACTTAACATTATGTATTTTGCATATTATATGTTCAACATTTAATCACAGTAATCACAAACAACAAGCCCTATCCTAGGGCCTTTGTTGCAAATTACGTGGCATCACCCGAATGGAGGAGCTTGGCTAGACACGCTCTGGCCCGAACCAATCACATGGATGGAGCACGCTATTGTAAATATTGGAAGAAAAATAAATATATTTATGCTTTGAACAATGCTTGAACAAAATTTGATTAAGTCTTTTAATAGCTTTTAAGGATCTTAATTTTCTCATAATTGATTTATCAACTTTTAATACTTTTTAAGACCCCACAGACACCCTAGATCGGCCACAATGCCAACCGGTTAGCATAAATCTCTGAAACACAGACCCTCCCCTGCAGTCCAAAGATATGCCTCCTGAAAAACGAGGGCGCGTATCTTGAAGATGCCACCAGATCCCTCTCTCATGCTGGCGGCGTGCAGACATAACACTTATTACTTACATGCTTTTTCTGACTGAATATTCAGAGTAGCATGGTAAACATAGGGAGTGCGTCACAGGTTGTCATTGTTCAAAAATGAACCGATGTGATGTAAATACAAAAGCAACTTCACCTCAAAGCAGGCTAGGCGGAATAGTGCCATTTACTTCTTTTGATGTTAAACTAAATAAAATTTACTTTATTGATGCTGTAAAAGGTCCCTTATGAAATTGAAAAGTCACATCAATCTTTCACCGGGAGATTTTAGTTTAAGTGTTGTTTTATTTGATATACTTAATAACTAAAATCTATATCAGGGATCACCAACCTTTATGAAACTGAGAGCTACTTCTTGGGTACCAATTAATTTGGAGGGCTACCAGTTTGATAAACACTTCTCAAATAACAAATTTACTCAATTTACTTTTAATTATATTTTATGTTTTTGGTAATAATTAATGATATTCATCCGTGTGAAGACACTGATCATGTTAATGATTCTCACAAAAGTTATCAACAATGATTTAACAGGGTAGGAAATACCCTGTATTTATTGTATCAATGTGCAACACTTTATTTTTATATATCTCTGCAAATATTTACATTTTTAAATGATTACTTCTATATTAGATGAAGCTTACTGGTAAGTGGCGCTATGGTGAGCTATTTTTAGAACAGGCCTGTGGGCAACACATGTGATCCTCGCGGGCTACCTGGTGCCCACGGGCACCATGTTGGTGACCCCTGTTCTATATTATGCTGAATGACTGCCATTTTTCATCCAGATTTTGACTATATTGTGAATATTTTCACAATTATTAATACATGAAATTAGACAAGCATTTATTGTTTTTCTTTATACAACAAATCTTTTTTCTTTAAAGATCACTGACCCATAGACAGATAAATACATAAACAGATAACATTTTATTAAATTATTTTTAATATTCTGTTTTTTTCTTCTAATATTTTGTGTAATTTTTGTAAATAATCAAACTTTTATAAACAGATAACATTTTATTCAAAAAAAATTTTGTTTAATATTTTGTTTAATGTTTTTTTAAATAATCAAACCTTAATACATAAACAGAAAACATGCTATTCTATTATTTTTATATATTGTTTAATATTTTTAACATTTTGTTTTTGTTTCAATATTTTGTGTAATCTTTTTTTTAATAATTAAACCCTAATACATAAACAGATAACAGGTTATTCTATTATGTTTTATATATTGTTTAATATTTTTAATATTTAGTTTTTTGTTTTTATATATTTTTTAAATAATCAAACCTTAATACATAAAAGGATAACATTTTACTCTATCATATTTAATGTTTTGTTTAATATTTTTACAATTTTGTTTTTTGTTTTAATATTTTGTTTAATATTGTTTTAAAATAACCAAACCTTAATACATAAACAGTTAACTTTTTATTTTATTATTTTTATTCTATTTTTGTTTTGTTTTTTTATCTATTCAATTCAATAATTGCTTTATTGGCATGAAAATTCTATTGCCTAAGCATTTATAAAGTTTACATAAAAGATAAAAGAACACATGTAAAATAAAAATAAAAAAGATATCACAGTAAATATTAGTAGTGGTAATAATAATAATAATAATAATAATAATAATAATAATAATAATAATAATAAACAGATATATACATATAATAATTAAATAAAAATAAAAATAATATATCATATTATTTATATATCATATTATTCAATGTAGTATATATTATTCAATACATCATATTTTTATTGAATATATTACTCATATATATCAAGAAAAATAATAACAGATAAGAATAAACTGTACATTTAACAATCACATTTTAGGATTTTCTATCTATCTATCTATCTATCTATAGATATTCTATCTATCTATCTATCTATCTATCTATCTATCTATCTATCTATCTATCTATCTATCTATAGATGTCTATCTAGATAGATAGACACAAAAATATACTGTACGATTTTCACTTAGGTTAGTTGTGCTGTCTTAAACGTGAACCGATGTTGTTATCAGAATGTTTACTTACAATTAGTCTAAACACCCCAAAAGTGTTTTTAAACCCACGACAGACGTGTTTCTATCTTTTTTTTCTCGCCAAAATCGACTAATAAACAAAGTATCCTCTTCCAGCCACTTTCAAAACAGGCTTTCCGTGCACCTATTTGTCATCTTACCTTGACAGCATCAGGACAGATCTGCAGGGAGGGACAAATGGATCACGAACTGGCTGATGTCCCAGGTAAAAATATGAATACTAAACTCCGAAAGCCAGAGAGATATCTCTAAAGGTAAACGAGACTGAGCCTCCGCAGCCCAAGAACTGGTATCTGACAGGAACTCACAATAAAAGGTGCTTTAATTCTGTTTTAGTTGCTAGCTAGTTTAGCAAAGCGGCACGGGCAGCCCGACGAATTACCCGCGGATGCTGTAGACGCTTGCGGATGTCTTTTCCGTTTCTTCACGGAAAGACGCTTCCTAATTTTGGCGAGCCACAAACAATTGCTTTTGTTCCGATGTTATGCGGCTCCATTAAGAGGGAATGCAAGAATCTGAAGAGGAGGCAGCCTATTGTGATGTTCTTGATTGACAGGGAGGAGAGCAAATGATAATAGCCGTTGTGCAAAATGAGTTTCGCTCGTCCAATGGAAGCGCCAGGTAGGCGGGGCCAAACTCGCGACTCCTTTTTCCATCTCCCGGATGTTACCCCGGTCACCCTGGCAGCGTCAAACAACAAATTGTGACTATTCCATTTACAGTGTTTAACATTGAACTAAATATAAGTTTGTTAGAAATGTATTGTCAAAACAATAAATCCCATGTCAATAATGGAGAAAATATGTTTTACAAGAGTTCAGCAAAGAGGCAAGAAAAATAAGAAAACGATACTTAACGTATCCGGTTCTTCCTAAAGCCAAAGTAGTAACAAGTTAGCATTTAAAAATTTTAAATTACATCTACCTATCTAATAAATTTACATATTAATTAAGTTTAAATGGAAAAAATGAACTGGGGAACAATTTATGCAGTTTTTGTAATAAAGTTAAAAAAATTTCTTTTACTGTGAAGTTATAAAAGATTTTTGGGTGTAATTTCAGAATTGGCTGCATTCTAAACAGATACACTCTTTAACTGTGGTCTCAATCAAAGTTGGTATATTTTTGAAGGACAAAGACTTTTCCTTTTGGTAAATAGCATAATTATTTTAGCTAAACATTTTATTCATAGATGCAAATTTGTAAAGGTAAAATCCCACTTTAATAGATGGAGAAATTATCTGATAATAATAATAATAATAATAATAATAATAATAATAGGCGACGCAGTGGCGCAGTAGGTAGTGCTGTCGCCTCACAGCAAGAAGTTTGCTGGTTCGAGCCTCGGCTGGGTCAGTTGGTGTTTCTGTGTGGAGTTTGCATGTTCTCCCTGCGTTCGCTCCAGTTTCCATCACAGTCCAAAGACATGCGGTTCAGGTGAATTGTCTATAGTGTATGAGTGTGAATGAGTGTGTATGGATGTTTCCAGAGATGGGTTGCGGCTGGAATGGCATGGAACCCTTAGATTAATAAAGGGACTAAGCCAGAAAGGAAATGGATGAATGAATAATAATAATTCCTTACATTCATATAGCGCTTTTCTGGACACTCAAAGCACTTGACACAATGTTTGGCGGAATCTCCTTATACACCACCAGCAAAGAGTAGAGAATCATCAGATGATTGAAGAATAGATATATAGATATAAAGAAGAGATGAATCAGTGATTTTAAGCTCTTTGGCACCAGTGTGCAGCATTCACCTGGATGACGCAATGGCAGCCATATTGCACCAGACTGCACATCACACGCCAGCTGATTGGTGGAGAAGAGACGCGTGATGAAGCCAATTATGATATGGGGATGCCATGATGGACAGAGGCCAGTGGGAAAATTTGGCCAGGATTCTGGGGTTAAACCCCTACTCTTTTTCGAAGGACATCCTGGGATTTTTAACGACCACAGAGACCACATAGCCCTTGCCATGACCGACACTGACACGCACCTCTAAAAAAAAAACAGAACTACACGTCGCAATGATGCGTATCGCAAGCTCTGTGATTGGTCGGCTTGGTAGCACTGACAAGTGTGGGTGGGACCGAGAGCCGCACAAACCCATTGGAGCAAGTGTTTACAAGTGTGGAGCCTTGTGAAGGAGCTCCAGATAGAAACGTTTGTTTTGTGTTTTACCTTATGATTAAAGTTGTTGCACATCCGCCGGTTCCAGCCTCAAAATGAGCTACTTCGAGTTATTTCAACATTGAGGTAGCGTTCAGAAAAAAACTAAACACCAGCGAAGAAACTCGACACAGAGGAACATAAAAACCTACTGCCAGCTAACATTTCAAAGTGTTATTGCAAAGCAACACAAACAGCACGCATAAGTATAAATGCACAACAACGCGTGCCCGTGGGTCACGCCAATCACTCGACTCAGAAGTATAATCCAAGTTTAAGCAATATAGAGTCCCCTTTACCATACTAGGGTGTTAGGACCCAAACAGACCACAGGTTGAGCGCCCCCTGCTGGCCTCACTAACACCACTTCCGACAGCAACCAAGCTTTCCTATGTGGTCTCCCAATCAGGTTCTGAACAGGCACATTCCCTGCTTAGCATCAGTAGGCGACCATGTGAGCTAGCTAGCAAGATGTTCAAAAAGTCTCTTCATTCCATGAGGAATAAAAATGCCCGGAGGCTTTCACATGCTTTGAACTTATTTCTACTACTTGACTAAGACCCTCACGCCCCCCTTTATTTAGTTAGTTTTTTAGTTTGTTTGTCTGTTTATGTCTTTAGTCATGTGCTTTTTTATCAATACTAACAGTTTGTATTGGACTGTTGAATATGCCGTAATGGTTTGTACTTGAACTTATGATTAATAAAAATAAACAAATAATTTAATTAATTAAATAGGAAAAAAAACATTAATCTGAATAAAAGATTATTACAAAGAGAAGCGTTTTGGATTTATAAATTAAAGTCACTTACACCGAGTGGAATAAATGAGGAATTGGACCTTCCTGTGTTTCTGTAACGGTTTGTTGTACAGCTACTGTAGAATATTGTGAATCATTTTGAAGATGTAATGATACAAATAATGAGATGAAAATGTATTATTTAATGTTTTGGACTGTTGAATTTCACTGTATTGATGTACACATGATAATGATGATAATCATGAAATAGACAAGTGAATGATGCTAATTGATCTGCTATTTTCCTGTGAAAAAATGTTTTTGAAGGTGAAGGTAAATATTTCTTGTGTGGTTAATAATGTTATATTGAAATGAAAATGAGAAGTGAAATCATTGAGTGGCCGTCTAACTGATGACGCAATGTGATTTATTGTGGGACAAAAGAGTCTAGTGAGAGGATTGCTTCACACACTGAGGAAGGCATTGTGCTGAAACGTTTATGTTTCATATCACCCGAAGAATGTAAAATAAAAACTGAACAGTAGTATTGACGAGATTAACGCACCAAAAACGGTTTTTGAAACTGCCAGTACGCAGGGCAAACTTCTTTACTCAACATACAAAAAAAAAACATTAAAAAGTAAATCTCTGAAATCAGAGAAAGCAATGTTTTAGAGTTCTGCAAATTTTGTTCGAATTCCAGCACTCGCGCTCATATATGCAGGGTTTCATAAAATGGATTTTCTTAGTTTCCGAAATCATTTTAACATGTTACAAGCAAAGTTGTGTCATTAAAAATAAGCTCAAGTTATAAAAAAAAAACATAGATGGATATTGATCTGTTCTTTTTATTTGTTTGTTTATTATATCTACAAGTGAAGTCAGAATTATTAGCCCCCTTTTGAATTTTTTTTCTTTTTTTTATATTTTCCAAATGATGTTTAACAGAGCAGGGAAATTTTCACAGAATGTTTGAAAATATTTTTTCTTCTGGAGAAAGTTTTATTTCTTTTATTTCGGCTAGAATAAAAGCAGTTTTTAATTTTTTATATATAATTTTATATATCTAGTCAAATTTTTTTTATCATTTATCATGGCAAGATAAAATAAATCAGTTATTAGAAATGAGTTAGTAAAACTATTATGATTAGAAAATGTGTTGGAAAAATCTTCTCTGTTAAACAGAAATTGGGGAAAAAAATAAAGATTGGGCTAATAATTCTGACTTCAACTATATATTTTTAAATTGTGGAGTTCTATTAAATGTATTTCTCTCTATTTATCCGTCCTCATACAAAATGTACCATTTACTTTTTACTTCAGTGACTTGTGTTGTCCTTAGTGTATATGGATGTTTTTATTTGAATGCTTGTTTGCCATTAGTCTAAACAAAGGTTTGAATTCCAGCACTCACATACTGTTCGTTTCATAAAATATATTTTCTTTAGTTTCCAAAAATCTTTTCAACATGCAACACAAGAAAACTTCAGTTCGAGTTACAAAAACAACAAAAGCACTTATGTTGGCGCACAGGCATAGAATTATGGCACCACACTGGAAAATGAAACCTTACAGTTGACAATGTCAAAGGAATGTCTTGTTTTACACACGACCACACAATGCTTACCTTTAAAGTGCTAATAAAAGACACATGAACCGTTGCAGATGTCAATGCCATTTGATGACGCTACATCATTTAACAATCAGATGACTTCACAGATTAGAGTTTAAATGATTCACAAACGGTGTTAGATTTTGTCTACCTTCTTTTAGGCCACAAACAGCGCTACAGAGTTAAACACATAGCTGATATGAAAGAAACTCAGTTCCCCCCAAATGCATTCAGGGGATCATCAAAAATATTGTGGGCTGTTTCTGCGGTTGAGGCAGGCTCCTGGATGGGCTGGCTCTTCTTGGACTTGGAGGACGGTTTTACTGTTGGTTTAGTAGTCCCAGTCGAGAAGATATCATCTGTGAAGGTGAGAGAAGGAAAGCAGATGCCAGTTAGAATTTTAGAGAGCGTCTTTATTGGTGGAAGTTAAGGATAATACCCAAAAATAAAGCTCATAAAAATCTTTAAAAGGAACACTCTTTTGGAAAACAGGCTCATTAAAAAAATACTTTATATACTTATTTTAGCCCAATAGATAAAAAAATGTTGCTATTTTCTACATCGATATGTTTAGAAACTATAGTCTCATTCTGGGGTAATAATCAAGGAAATTTCAAAGCATTGCTGCAGCAGGCGCAATGACATTTTGCAGAACTGTTTACCTGGTAGGGGACTATTTTCAGGCACTATGTAATGCCATTGCACAGGGTGAGTACATTTTCCTTTTGGGGTGAACCAACCCTTTAAATGTATTTATGTCAATACATGAACTTTCTCTACCTGATAATATTAAATTTTTTTAGAGGGGGTATTCTATAAATTATGTTAAAAATTCATGACAATCATTATTTCTGCTCAGAAAAAATCCCTTTCATCTTTAACACATTAATTTTATATTAATAATTGACATGATGGCAGTCCTAATTTTGTTTTTGTTTTGTGCTATTGCACTCAGAGGCATTATATGGAAGGGAATATGCAAACTAATTAAATGATATAGAAGGTCGCTGGTTCGAACC